ATAACTTTTTATTACCATTTTCATGCACACACACAATTAAAACGTACGTAAACGTCAGACTTGTGGGGAAACATTTATCTGATAGATAATACAAATCGGTAGGAGATTCGTTTTCACATAATTTACTCTGCAGAATGATACATATTTATGTGTCGACTGTAAATCAATTGCAAATGAATTTTGATTTATGTATTTCATCAATTTGATATTTGTCACTTATAGAAAACAAAAAAAAAACATTCATAACACTGGGGCAGGTTATTGATAAAGAATGGCAGTTGCTCCACCTAAATTAAATAATGTACATACATATTCATTTATTTATGTAGGTATCACACATATGTACAACCACATTCATTTTGGCAAGCCATAATGTTTCCTGTTTTATTGTGACGATAAACACTTTTGATGGCTGACTCCATATGTTCTTTTGCCATGAAATTTGACAATTTTTCATGGTAGCGATTCCACTACAGCATTTTATTGCGTATTTCAAGATAAAATCTGAAAATTGCTCTCAGGAAAATAATGTTTGAGCTCAAATGCCGCAACGGAATGTCTAGTGTATTATTCAACTCTTGGGTCAGAAGGACAATATTCACCATTCAATAATTTTCTTTTGTTCTCTTTTTAATTAATTTAGCTGTAAATCTAGTTAACCCAACAACAGTTCGTATAATTCATGCTTCACGAAGACAAAACAAACCCAACAATGAGATTGGTCTGGTGGTAGCCACATACAAACATATATCGTATGATGTATTTGTACACAAGTCTGCTGGTGCATAGTGTTGGTAGTTGGTGAAAAACTACAATGCTGCATAATGCCACAGATAATGATGTCAAAGGGACGAGAAGTTCTCACCTCTCTTTTCAGTGGCCATGGCCTGAGCAATCTTGGTATTTCTCCATCGGGTGTGATGACTGACAAACCGACAGTGGAGCAAGTCAATAAAATAAATCTGCATGCTTTCTCTCATTCATACCACAATTAACTCAACTCTGTGGGAGCGTGTACTCTAATAATTCTCGAAATTCTTGATATCTCCACCAGTGCTGACCAAACCTACGAATTCACGAATTGTACTGGTAGCATTCATGTTTTCTCATTGCACACAGCTGCGAAAATACGAATTCTCTCCATTTAGTTCATGCTAAATGTGAGAATTTCCGACACGGGAGATGTCAGTCACCACGAAAATTTTGTATTTTGTGAAGCATAAACCCATATGGGCTGCTACCATTTGATTGGCGGAACAAATTTGGTTCTTTTAATAAAATAAATGTAAATTTATGAGAAATTGCCGTAGAAGTGCAGAAGCTTCCACCGAACGATGTTCAAGTACCAGTCCAACCATACTTATGAAGCTGTGTATCTGTAACAATATCCCAACGAGCATGGAATGCGAAATGAATTTGAGATCCTTCCAGGCCAAACATGACAATAATTAATGAAGACAGACAACCTCCCCACTAACTTCATACGTACGTACATACATTGCACAGGATTTGCAGTGCAGAATTTCTGAGCCTGAGCTAATAATAATATATAATTCAAGTATTGCATCGCAAAGCTACTGTAAATATAATCAGTATACATAAACTAGAGCTTACAATAACACAATTTGATTATATTCACACATGTGCTCTGGCCTCTCGCTGGAAGAACGATCTGAATGCTGATAAAAAATTAAGTTATTTCAATACGTAGCATCAAAGATGATAGCCATCATACTTACAAAGTTGGATTTTGATGCAGAAGAATATTAATAAAAATGCGATATGAGAAGTTGGGGCTTCATTCACGAAATAACAATGTGGAGCAGTACCAGTTTAATTAAAAAGTTTCTTTGTGACGGCAGATCGTGCAATGGTGAAGTAAAATGTGACAGGTGGGGATGGTGAAACTTTTGCTTCCCATAAATTCAGGTCTATCGCCCAGCGTTGAGATGACGTTATTATGTGGGAGTGTAAACCAAGTATTTATGACACCCTTACATTTATTTTTTGGTGCATTAATTTAAAAAACAATTCAAGATGTTGAAGCGCAAGTTAGCGATTCTCATTCATGTAACTTTTACTTTATGCAACCTTATGCATGACTTGAGCTGATTGTATAACTCGACAAGTTCAAGTGTGTAGTGCTTTGATGTATGTATGGAGCATCCCTCGATGCTCTTTTCAAGTCTGCAATTTACATGCTGCAATAAATCTATCAGTACATTAAGTAAATAAATAAATCGCTATATTGTAATATTCCTGTCACATAATAAGTGCTATATGAAAGGAACATTTGGGATCTGAAACTCAATTATAACGAATGAATCAATTCGTTAACGTGAAGTATTAGTAGAAGGACTCGCTCCGAATAAAAGTGTCAAACAAGGAGCAATACAAGGGAAATAATTAATTGTGTGTAAGCTGTCAAGAAAATAATAGCAAGTAAAATGCTTATAAGTTCTCTTCAGATATATCCAGATATTTCTCACTTATACAGAATCCTCAAACAATTTTGTGCGTCATGGCCTTTTATACTTTCACCTTCCTCAACTCGTTCGTTCACTCGCTCGCTGGACCTCTTATATTTATGGTCAGTGTTTTGTCATTTTTCTTCCAAAAGTGAGAATGCATTATATGTCACATGAAGTATAAGATCTGAACGTCTCTTGTATTTCATGTCGAGATATGTGAAAGTTAAAGCGAAACCTGGACCGGGGGTCGCAAGTCGTGACTGGGAAGTTGTCACTTGGGATTGGACGAACCACCCTGAATATGACAGTCAGCTATTATCCAACTCCTTCACTAATGCCATGTGCGTCGTCTCGTGAGAGTTTTATACAATGCTGCCAACTGCTAAAAGGCGTGAAGCTGACTTTCCCCAAACAAAAATTGGGTTATTCCAATAACCTTCCAATAACGTGTGGTACATGGATTTTACACTTTGGTGAAAGTGGCTTACGTCGTGTCATGTTTGTGGTATGAATGGCAACATTTATGTACAACAAAGCGAAAGGAATCATCATAATAGTGAAATGTGCATGGCCCTTTGTGTTCATCATGTCGAGTTTAGTGAACGCGTGCAAAAGTTTCTCGGTCCACTACTTGCTTGTGCTGTGTTGTGTTTGAGAGTCTTAGGGTCTCCACTACCTGATTCGATTTCCTAAAAAGTAAAGAAGCGAAAAGACGAAAGTGGATCCGTAACTAAATTTATCCGTACTATTTTGAAAACCTACGAGTTTAAAATATATTGCTGAACAATAGTTGGGCTTGGATGTGTACAAGAGTGACTGCAGAAGAAGACCCAAATATGGACAAAGAGTAATTCGAGAGAAGCGGCAAAACGTGTGCAAAGTGAAAGTACAATGTTTCAACGTCTTATCGCGAGCTGACAAGCTGTGCTGTTCAAGTATAACTTGGAAACGCAGTGGAAATTTCGACTTGGAGGATTTAGTTCTAGGAAGAAGAAGAGAAGATTCTAAGGAGGAGGGTGGACCAGAGAAGGACATGATGACACACCATTAGAAAACGACCAACAAAGTTCTAAACTGTGGAATTACTGTGGATGTGAGAATAGGATCATTTCTGTGGCTTTTTAAATCGTGACAAGAATTGGTCAGACTCAGATTTTAGTAGCTTTTACGTAGAAGTTTTGGAGAGCCAGAGTGCTCAGACCTCAGTACATGGAGGAGATATTTAGGAAGAGTAGGGAGATAAATGTTCGTAAGAAATAGCCGATGCTTTGTTAGAGTTAAATCATTTTGGCAAATAAATGATTGTTCGATTACTCATTGTATACATATTTGTAAATGCATCCATGTTATATAAATTATGCTTCAGCAGTGTTGCTAAATGGTACAGCAAAGCTGTTCAAACAAGCAAAATAATTCATCCCCCGTGAGTAATATATATGCTGACATACTCATACTGGAAATTTGTTAGGCTTTAAGTAAATGCTTTATTAAAAGTATAATTTATACGAAACTCAAAAGGTTAAATGCAGTGTTGCTGAAATTAATTGAATTATAATTATGTAATAAAATAATCAGTGTTTTTAATAAAAAAAACTTTTTACCAACAGTAGGATCTCGGATGACATTTTGTGCGGACGGAGAAAGTTGCTTGAAGTCAAGGTCTACTAAATGTATGTACATGGATATAAGTACGTAAATCCGCTTTCCCTTATATTGGTAAATGAATCGTGAAATCGAAAAAGTGAGAAATATATATACGTAGCTAGAATTTATGGTGTTATGCATATATGCGGTTGATATATGCAGATAGTAATGTACGCAGTATACGCTTTACATAAATCTCTGGAGACGTTGCTCTTATAATTCATAGCGAATGCGAAAAGCCATCAACGCGTTTGCAGGGTCTGGATTAAAATTTAGGTGAGGTATGTATATGAATAGGCACTTGAGTGTAAGATGGTTATCTCATCGCCCCAGATTATGTAAGTAAGTAAGTGGTTACAGACGTGACTTCCATTATGGTTAGTGCAAGATGATGACAAATAGTAATAAGTAAACATGTCCGTGTATTTATATGAGTTGAAGATTAGAAATATCTTACCTCGTCTAAATTGGTTGTAGTTCTGAAAGTTCTAAATTGGTTGGTTGATGATTCTTTCCGCGTCTTAAAGAGCCATATTTTGCGGAACAAACAGATAATAAAGTATGAGTTTCGCGCGAGGAGAAATGAGACACGTTGGACTACAAAGAAACGACTGCAGTCTGCTTGCTTGTGATGCATGCACACAAAAAATCACTCTCTCCGAAATTTAAGAAAAATTGTGAATTTCTGTAAATATTCTTCGGATCTTTATGTCAATACACCCTAAAAAAGCCAGCGTTATGTCTTCAGACCCGATTCTAGAGTTTTTCTACGACGAAAATGGAGATATAGATGTCGCAGAAATTGAAGGCAAGAATTGCATATATTTATTTTATTGTGCGGACTGAAGTCACTTTATTTGTGGTCTTTTTCTCTAGATGATACAGGATACAACAAAATTTATGCAACACCGTTAGTTGACCACAACTGGGAGGCGGTTAGTACAGTTGTGATGAGAACGTATCACGAAAATCTGTCACATGAAAGTCAAACTCGAGCAAGAAGTAAAGGATGCAAAGCAGGGTGAGAATTTCTTGTTCTAGATGTGGTGTCTGCAGACTTGTTTAATGTTTATGTAAAACTACTTATTTCGCAGACGTACATCAAGATACGGAGTGTCCTACGCACCAAAATTAAGCTGCAACCTACATCTCGTCACTAAAGAAAAGTTGAACCAAGAAGAACGGGAAGGAGAAAGTGAAGAAGAAAAAGAGGAGGAAGAAGAGGGGGGGCAGAAAAATATTATCTTTTTTCTCAAAAGCTTTTGTCGAATCTTTACAAATTCAGTTTGTGCATTGGAACCTTCGGAATCTCTGGACAAGTTGCAGCATCTAGAGCCGTTACTTAAAAATCATTTGCTGCTGCAAGCGTCAAACTTTGATCGTGGAACGGTCGAATTCATGAACTCCTGGGGAGAAGCGCCAATGCTCGGACATTGGAACCTTTATGCCAAGGAGCTGCAGCTGTATTTACCGAATCCTGCAGAATTCATATCCATTCCGATAGCAACAATCAATAAAATTAGAGGCGTCCTGCGATGGAGACGCCCGGAAGCAAATGTGGTACTGGAATCGTTGTGGGATTCTTCTATTCAGGCTGCCGCTTTAAGTTCCAGTGGTTAGGTCAATTTTAATGCCATCATTTGAAAACTGCAGTTTAATTTATAATTTCTCCCTTTTAGCCAAATTGGCCCCACAGCCACCAAAAGATGAGAACCCGTTTTGGGATGGAACACCAGCTCTCCAACCAGAATCAGAAACAATTTTTTTATATTACGACGAAGAAGGGGAAATTCGATCTAGAACATTGGGAGATGATGAAGGTAATTAAATAACATGCTCTGGACTGCAGTCATTTAATATATATTTAATTATTCCTATTTGTAGAACTCGTTGGAGAACACGATGTATTTCTAATTCCATTGGTGGACGATGAGTGGGATGAAGTAGCTGTTGCCATCGGGAGGACATCAGAAAACATTTCTGTTCAGTTTCCAGCCAAACGGCGTGTGAATACAGACCGCTGCAAAGCAATGTTTGTACCCAATTTTATTGTCTGCAGACTTATATTTCACAACTTTATTTCTATTTTGCAGACACACATTCAAATATGGACTGTCATATGCGCCTAGACTGAGCTGCAAGCTAAATATAAAAACTTTGGAGGAATCTATCATCCGTCTTTTAAAACCATGGACCCGTGTATGCACGAATGGGATCGACGCAATTGAACCCACCGACTGTATCAATAAATTGGAACATGTCGAACCTGAGTTGAAAGCTCACTTGCTGCAGCAGTCTCCAAAATTTCCGGCATCAACCGTTAAATATATGAAGTCCTGGGGGGAGACCCCAATGAAACAACATTGGAATTTATTTGCACGCGAGTTCCAGGTCTACCTTCCCGATCCTGCCCAAATATTTTCTGTTCCCGTCACAACGGTAAACGAAGTCATCACACTTTTGGAAGGGGATGAAAATGCAGTAGAGTTACTAGCTGACCTAACTGGAGCCAAAGATAAAGCTTCATCTCTTCTTCAAAGAGGTAAATAAAAATGATTATATCATTATAAATATGACTCTAATAATGATACAACGTTTATTATTTCAGCCCGCGTACGACCCCAGCCCTCTCATGAAGAAAACCCGTTTTGGGGCAAGGGAAACAAAATCACATCATCAGAAATGGATGACGCTATTGAATCAGTTAGGACCAAAGAAAGGGGTCTTCACGAAGCTGCAGCATTTTATAACGTTGACTATGAAACTCTTAGACGTAGAACGAAGGAGACGGGAATAGTTTCAAAATTTGAACAAGGAGGTCAAAAACTTCCGATTTCACTTGAAATGGCTACAGCCATTCAATCTGTGAGAGACAGCAGGAATTCAGAAAGACAAGCTGCAGCAGAATATGGCGTACCCCGTTCTACCCTCAAAAGTAGACTCAGTGATGAAGGAATAATTTCAGCGTTCAAGAAATATTAACCCTGCATATTAACCAGTCCATTATAAAATTTTAAAAATTATACGCCAATGTTACATATGTGGTCATTGGAAATTTTCATGGAAGTTGATGTGGGTCCTTACGGTTGAAAATTTGTCAAACTCTACTCCAATAAAAATTAAAAGCAGTCCCCAGAAAATGTAATTAAAATAATTATTTAAAATAATTTCTCCCTCAACAACGGGTGACAACGCCAAAAAATGCGTACCTGTCCCCAACTCGAAAATTTTTCATAATTTTTAAAAGACGTCCCATCCCTGGACAACCTCTTTACATAATTCTCATACATTCACTCCACGGAAACAAACTAAAAAGTCTAGGAATCTTGAGCCTGTCCTATAAACGGGCCGCGTTAAATTTCCATAGTAAGATTCTCAATGTAAGATTTCAAAAATCATCTTACCTCGTCTAAATTGGTTGTAGTTCTTGATGACGATTTCCGCGTCTTTCCGAGCCTTGTAGAACCATTCAGAAGTATTGCTGAGATACGGATATTCCAGAGAAAGGTCTTTCACAAGGATGGACCCGTCCTGTTCACGATACCCGTACGGACAAAACAGTGTGTAATTCTTGTACTGGTTCTCATCGTAGCAGCTGCAATACCATCAAATGCAAAAAATGTTAATGGTCGACAATGTATAGATTTTTTGTATCTCCGTTGGACCGTTATTACTGCTGCTGGTGTATTTGAAAAGCTGAGTGCGACGGAAATTGACTTACTTGCCAGCTGCAAAAATATCCTCATCAAATTCTATCAGGGAGATAACCATCGCGTGGAGAAGGTATTCATCTTCGAGAGATTTTGGCTCAGCATATTTCCAAAACCGAGTCAACATATTTGCACGGTTTACAGTCAACTCAGCCTCAAGTCTAAATCTCTCTTGGGCGTAGCGATCAACAACTCCATCGCCCAAGTTAAAATCTGTACCTCGCGTGCAATTCGCTCCAAGAGTGTGTTGAGACTCGACTATTCGCAAAAATACTGTCACAATGTCTGATCCTGGTTTTTCATTCTGCGATGGACTGGCAGAGCTGGTGGCAACGTGATCGTACTCATCATCAGACTCGACAGGATTTGAGGCTTCGTCATCATCATCCTTAAACGCACCACTGCGTTCACGAGTGCCTTCATCTAGGGCATTGGGAAAATATTCCGATTCAACGTGAACGCCGCCGCCATTATTGGCCAAGTTCTCCCATGGACGACTTTGGTCCTGTGTTTCTGGTGAGGCAGCACCACCACCACCTCCCATAGGATCATTATCATTACTGAGGGGCTCCAAATTGTAATTAGATTTATAATCCGATTGGTCTCGGATATCAGCAGGCAGACGAGAAGCCTTCCTCGTTTTCTCCTTTACTTTTCTGAACGCATCGTGCTGAAAATCTCCTCCAATTTTTTTCTTTTTCCCATTTCTTCGCTTATCCAGAGATAGTGATGGATTGGGGGAAGATGAAATTCGGCCAAAACCGTCATCATCTGGGGCTTTGTTCTCATCTCCATCCGCATATTCTGGTTTTCTCGTCCCAGCAGCCTTTCCCCCTCTTGATCTCTTCCCACCTCCACCTCCACCACCTTTAGCTTTCTTGGTTGGTTGAGGAGAAATTTGTTGTTGTCGTGCCTTGTTACTCGAGTTGACACTACTGTCTTTTGTTGTAAACTTATTATCTAAAGTTGGTTGCAACACGGGTGCTCCATACCTGGTGTCCGTGGAGTATGATTCGGGAGATGCTATCCTACGATCGCTGCTACTGATGCTACTGTTCCTGATATTGGAAGAAGTGATGATGGGCATAAGGGTTTTTTTGGGCAAAAGTAACTTGTCAATTTTTTGTGCTTTTGTGGACGTGTTGCCTACTTTGACTGTTGGTGAGATGAAATATGGAATTCCATAAACCATTTCTCCGTCAGTTTCAACCGAAATGCTGCCACTACTACTGGTCGTAGTACTACTACTGCTTTGTCCAGTTTTGGTACTTGGTTTTCCCTCTACTAGTTTTCCAAAGCTTCGAACACCACCAGATGCAACTTTCGCATCAGTAGAAGCGTGGCTAAATGGTTGATCGCCTTGTTCTTCATCGTCTAAATCTACTACATGACTGCTTTTAGCCGTGAGGTCGGACTGAGACTTTACGATGCTAGGGTCCGAAGGAGTCTTCCTTGTCCGCACGAAGCTTTTCCTTGACCGGTAATGTCTGATTGAGGATATAATTGGACGTTTTTGAGGGCTATCTGACATTTTCTCGTCATTAAGTGCTTGTATTTCATTGCCCCCACTTTGACTTTGTGTAGAAATGCTTTTTCCTGTGGAGAAAGTCGAAGGGGCTGTGCTGATTCTCTCGTCGTCCTCATTTTCCTCAAGGAAATCATCCACAACATTCCTATACGGGGACCATAGTTTTGATCTTACTGTAATTTTTAGCTGCTCCTTCTGTACAGCCTCGTTGTTGGGAATGGGAGTGGTGACAGTGGTAACTAATTGTAACTTGTTTGTTCCCTTAGGGCTCAAGTTATGTAGTGGTTGCGTTGATGACGCCGTGATACTCACATTTCTGTTACCTGAGGTTGTACTAGTGTCACTTTGACCATTGTCATTGTTTCTGCTGCTGCCAGTTCCACTGTAGCAAAGCGTCCAAAGCAAAAGCAAAATAATGTGCGACATTCTCATGTGACAGTTCATTTTCCAACATTTCAATCAGTCCCCACACCCACCACCGGCATGACAAGTAACTCTTTTCCCATTATTATCCAAACACACATCTTGACACAAGCGATCAGAGTCGAGGTTTAACGTTTCACTATGAAGTATACCTCCTCCTCTTCGTGTTCCAATATTGTTCATCCACTAATCTGCTACTTGGTCATGGAGCACACGTTTTCAAGCACAAACATGTATTATAAACAAACTGACTATTGTATTTATAATGAGGGAGAAACGGATGGAGGAGAAAGTGGAGTGAGTGCGAGGTGGCTTTCTTGGAGCACCAACTACGAACTTATTAGCTTCAGGTTCCCTGGTCACGTCGTTGCGGTGCGGTCGGTTGGGCATCTCCGAAGGTCTGCCACCACCACCCCACAGACAGATCCGCTGCTTGATCGTCGTCTCCTCCTCCCTTAACTCACTCAACGAGAATAAGTATGTGGGAAATTATTCAGAGAAACAGTTCTTCACGCCATTCACTCTTCTCTTCAGAATTTGAGTGTGTCCTTTCCTTAGATATTCCCTCAAGAGGCCTGGAGGAAATTGTGCAAGTGGGATGCTTGAAGAAATAGGTAGACGGAAGGTATCCCAAAGTTCCCGTTTGAAGGGCTCGATGGTGAGATCAAAACCCCATCAATCACGTGATTAAGTCGTCACAATGTAGGGATAAGAGCTAGTTGCATCGCATTCCAAGAACGTATTATCGTGCTTCCTTCCTTTCGCCTTCGAAGGCCGGACACTCAGAAACTGAATGCTGAAGTACACTCTTTCAACTCAGAAGCAGAATGGGGAAGGAGAAAGTCTGCTATTTTCTATACTCGCTTCACATTTTGGTGTGCAGTTTTATGCACTCTGTTGTATCTTAGATGGTGATGATTTCGACCAACATCCTACGAGATAAATCACTTTCGTGGTAATTCAGAAAATACAAATTGGGCATTGTCACCCATACTTGTCATTATCATTCAGCTCACAAAAAGTATTTACTTTTTATGGCCCATTTCCAGCATCAATGCCGTCAGACACCACAGAGAGCCAGTTCCTCTTACAGTATGCAGTAGTGAGTCAGTCAGTAGAATCAGTTATTATTGCACCTTAAATTTTATTACTTCCACTTTCAATACTTGCCAAACTCCGATATTCGGCTTCTAGACCCTGTCTGCATCACGCACTTTGGACAATCTTCTTTTCCAACTAAATATCTACAAGATTACCACCATCATAAGACTCGTCATAATCTCAACCCTAATTTCTCATTAATGTTACGATAAATATTTACTTTTACACTCTACAATATGTACATACATATGTCCTATAATTACAGGAGGAGATAAAACTGTCTTAACTTTGACGACAACTGATATTTGTATTGACTAAAGATAAGCACAGGTAAGTCAATTATGATGAGAAGGTTATGTAACAATTAATTATTCTTGCAATTAGAAATAATCTAATAATTGCGCACGTCTCTTTCAAATAACTTGCTGGAGGTGGTAGTAATATTGGTGATTATTAATTGGTGGTCTCAGGGAGATGATCTTTTTAGCACGTAAATGGATTTATCTGGTAAAAGCAATCAGATGATGAGGTGGTTCGCTGTAATAAAGTTTTACAAAGTTATGAAAATTGCTCACGAATAAAACCAATAAATTGTCCGTAAAACCATGTACGCAAGTATATTAAATTGATTAATCAGTAATTCGATTTGTACTGATTTCACTTCAACTTGATGTAATTTTCCCAGCCCAAGAAATGTGTTAATTTACAAACTCTGTTATGCAACTTTTGGCCTTGTGGTAAGAATAAGAATTAAGATTGAGTAAGTTTATATTTAATGAGTACGTAACGGGCTTAATCTTGAACCAAGTCACTTTTGATGATGTATGGATCCTGTCATCAATCAGCACAGGGCAGACAAAGACGAGTGTCAAGTCAAAGATCATTTATGTGTTTCAACTCTGTTTTTTGAACGCTGACTCTCCAACCAGCCGAGTATGTAGACACGAAGGGGCTGCAAATATGTCCTTCAATTGAATGCACGTCAAAAGTGGTAATGAGTTTATAATTAATTAAACCTGTCTAGGTTATCTTCTCACATATTATCACATTACCCTTTGTGTGACACATATGCACATTAGATGGCCCTCTCCATCATCAACACCCAGCCACTCAGGCATTGATGTTTGTTACAAAGTTATTCAGACTTTGATGATCCATCAATTTGCAAGTGTTACCCTGTAGAGTTGAGGCGCTCGCTAAATTCAGACGATTTTGTGGAGTAGGTGAAAGTCGAGAGTGGGGAAAGTTGTCTCTTTAAACTGTGAACTGCAAATGTTCACTTTCGCCTCCTCCTCTTCTATGCTTGGTCTAAAAACAGGTCACAGTTTTCAAAGGACCCTGTGATTGAAGGGTTAAATGACCTCGGGCCGTCGCTGGCTGGAAGTAAATACACTCTAACAGCTCGCCCTGAAGTTGCATTGACTATGACTGTCCATGACATTCTGCAAGGATTGATTTTGACAGGTGTGTACCGGTTTGAATAAGAAACTTACACGAGTCACAAATGATGGTGGATGATTTTAACTTTGAGTACTCTTGATACAATTTTACACTTACACGACGTATGTACCAGTCTGTGTTACACAATGGGCTGCAACTCACACGTCACATACAGAAGAAGCAACCAGAGGAACGCAGATAAGGTTGCGAAAATTCCACTTTAGTGTAGATGTAGTGTTATATTACTAGTAGTGGATTGATCTATGTAGGATTAATGGAAATGTCACTTTGCCCCCGTAAATTATTGAGTCTGTGAGAGATTTAATGGTGCTGTTGAGGAGTAGACTTGGCTAGTGAGACGACACTACATCAGCCAAACTGAGACAACGGAGAAAGGAATGCTTCCACATGGGAACCGGTTCGACGACTAAGTCCCAATATCTTATCAGCCCTGTTCATTCCACCACCACGAGCAGAAGACTCTCTGGGAAAGTCACCCACTCATTTAATACTGGGGCCTCAGTCGTGGCTCGCTCTGAAAAGAGGATATCAAATCGTAAACTAAGTTGGAGGGTTGGAAGCAAGCGCAAGCGTCCCGCTACAAATCGTCTGCAACTTTCACTCTTCAACGTGCCCATTCTTCCTCGCCGCAAGATTATGGTTTTGATATGCAGGAATTTTTAGCACAATTTGTTCCAAAACTGACGACATATGTATATATTTGCAAAGTTTGTGCAAATTTAATTCACAGAGTTGGCCGTCCTTTTCGACTTTCACCACTTGCTTGCTTGCTGCAGAAAATTTCAGGACTGCATAAACTACTCAGTGTCATAGACCAAGCATCTCAAGATTGGTTTTGCATATGTTCGAAGCCATAACTTGATGACACCAAAGTTGACGGAGGAGTGTGATTTATCTGCTTCATAAATATATAAATGCTTGCGGCGCAATGGCCTCTCATCTCAACCTTCTCATGAATATGGAAAAAAATTGGTGATAAGCTGGCTTAGGATAATCACTGTAGTCCGACACCTGTGTATTAATTATGTAATCTTCGGTATGGTGGAAATTTAAAAAAAAATTGTTTTCGTGGTTAAGTTCGATTCAATTTAAATTTTAGTCACAATATGAAAGTATAAAATTATTAATTGACAGGAGATTATTGACAAATGGCTTACGAAAAACTCACCATTTTTACAAGTTCAAAGCGCCTCATTTTTGAGGTTAATAATTTACGACGAAAGTATGTATGTATTTGTAGAATAGCCATTCAATTCATCAACCATATAAAAATATGCAAGCTCACAGGCGGATTCATAAGTAGGAAAGGGGGAATTGGAATTAGGTTGCTCTTGGGTTGCGATGTGAAGACAGAAAGTACAGAAAGAAAAATTCAATTTAAAGCAGATGTCATGTGAAGTTTCAACCAAGGCCCAGCAGCCAATAATTCAGTTTACTTTTTTCTGGAGCAAGAAAACCTTGCATTTCCTCCTAGCTCCATGTTTGCAGAATATTTCTATCAAAGTCATTCCGCTCTTACATATCCCATTTCCTACTCCAAATTCCCTACTTCCACACATTCTCGTGATGATGATGTTAGGAGTCTGAGAAAATTGACAAAAGTTGATGGGCGGTGATGCAAAGCGATGAAAAAGAAAGCATCGGAATCGGTCCAGAGAGAAGAAAAGATGACAATCAGGACGACTCAATCCAATACTTGCACTTTTCTTGTAACAATAACATTGCTCTCTTCTTGGAAATATGTAGGAAACTTCGGTTCAAAGCACAATTCAAGGAAGAAAGCTACATTTTATTGCATTAGTTATTAGTGTTCTAGTTTGAGCGTCTTGTCGCTATTCATCCACAATGTTGTTATTTTACGTGTGTATATTCCAAATTCAGTAGCGTAATAAGTTTACCGGTATATTTCGAGGGATAATTAAGAACTTTCGAATTCTGTTTCAATTTTACAAATTTACATATGGCATTGGAACATAAAGTCGAATTTTAAAAAAAAACGTCCAAATGTCCGCTTATTTATACTTTTGTCGTTCGAAGCAATCTATTTCATACGTCATAAGTAATTCACAGCTAATTCAACAAGTATTCACTCATAATACGTATTAATTAAAAATGGAGAAAATCCAGCAGTGACACATTTTTGAGAAGTTATATAATCTCCTCAATGAGAAAGCAGTACGTACACATGTAAGCACACAACTCATATATTGGAAGAAAAAAAACAATTGTCACTCATGTCTCCGTTTTCATAATACAATGCGAAACTGACGTGTCAGATGTCAAGCAGGTTATTGTTCTTGCCAGTCTCATAACTGACATACAAATACACGATATATATTTGCTGTTTTCACGTACGACTGTCAATCTAAATTACATTCTTTCGGTAAAAATGAATGGCATAAATATATCAAAATGGGTATATATGTACATATGTATATGCAGGCTGTCATCTACAAACAAACAAGTATGACTATCTATTTATGTGTATGAATGAACTCGAAAAGTTGTGATTCACATCATCCATAGTAGAGTATTTATGTCCCTACAACGCAATTTATATGGTGTAATACATGTCACGTAGTTCTGAATTTTTCAAACTAGTATACACTTTATGTATTCTTCAGTTATGCAACAATTTTAGTTAAGGTAAAGTGCACTTAATCAGATTACGTATAATTTATGGGGGTGATTTCTCAAGTAGATGAAGGGTGTCATTACTGTTGATTTCCACCCCATTCAATGAGGGTCCTTCATTACTCGTTTGATTTGCACAGCTTTGTGCATGTAGAAGCACAGTCCATGTTCCTTTTAAGACGGGAGTATTTTGACAAACCAAGCATTGTCCTACAAAAACAGCCGTTTTGGGATGCTGATTCTTCAAATCCTGAAAAGTGGAATTTTGTTCGGAATGTGAATTGATGTCTCCCTGTAGTTCAATAATCCATGTGTTATTAGCAGATATTTAAATGGTTTTCCATTTCAATGTTGATACTAAATAGTTGTCGGTACCTGTGCAGTATAACCATGATGGTTTTCAATTTCATTCATGTGTTCTTGAAACACTATCGTCATCGTCGTTGGGCTGTCGGGGTAGATCACTCCATTTCCTGTCCACTTGCTTGTAAGAATCCCCTTCACTAAAGTATTTTGCAACTCAAAGATTCTTGTTTTTATTTCAACTCGACCTTTTTCGTGTACAATTGGAAGTAGTTCAATTGCAACACCAGCCACTGAACTTATCCACATGCCATGAATGTTGCAGTGATTGTGGTCAGGAGGAGCACGAAACACTTGGGATTCATGGTTGACCTGATTGAGTATATTTGCCGAAGAGGAGCCATGAACTCTGGAATCGAGATGATCATTATTCTTGTTGTTGTACATTTTCACATTCTCGGTCCCTTGATAATTGATAGCACTTAATTTCGCATCAGACAGCAAAGACTCCTTATTCATTTCATCTACCAGTTGATTGCCATTAGTCGAGTGCCAAGGGATTTTCTGGAAAGTTTCCGGAAAATGAATAATTGGTGGTGAGTAATCAAAATTGAGCAAATCAAAAATCAAAGACTTTCACTCTCATGCGTACACACGGAGTAACTATGAATCAGCTTTCCAATAATTGTTTGTCGCATACATGTTCGTTAGCTCCGTATCTGCCAATTTCGTTGGCTTTGACAAAATCATTATAATTTCGTTGCATAATGTCGGCGCCATACATTGCTTCCAGCTTCTGATGTTCTATCTCTGACAGTTTTCGAGGTGCATATTTCCCAGTCATCCTTCGTGGCGTGTTATAAAATCTGCGAGGAACAGGGGCATAGTTCCACTCCTCCTGATCGTCACCTGATGATCGTTTCTGTCCGTAAACTTTGTTTATATGTGACGCATGATGTGGGATTGGGATTTCTGCTTGTGAAATCCTGATACCGTGTTGAAATATGACAACAATGAGGATGGAGAAAATTGCATACTTCATAACACGTTCTACTCAAAGAGTGCGACTTTCAGCCAGAGGGACATGTACTTTTACTCGCCACAGTTTTGGCAGTCTTCCCGAGCAGGTCAACAAGCCTAGAGCAGTCAGGGCCAGAAACAGGTGTAGTGCAGAGAACTTGTGAGAACTACAATCTTCGAGGACAGATGAGCTTCAACCCTAAAAAACAATGCTGAATTTTCTATCCTCCTTCTGCGACATTGGCAAGCACACTCAATTTTTACGGTTTTATGGTCTCAGGACGGCAGAGAAAATTAATCACGCCATTACAATGAAAGTAGGTAAAACTCAAGCCAAAGTAGATACAAAATGTTGTCATCTCGACGACCGACTTTCATCATATCATTAGCATACAAAGATACTAAACAGGCTAGAAAACACAGAAATGTAAGTATGTATGTTGCAAGGTTTTGATAAATATAAGCTGGAATACGAAGAAAAAATATATGCTAGACATTTGGTATTATTTTCAACTCTGATTGTCGTTAATCGCCTTCTCTCATACAAGAATTTGCTAACAGTGGTACACTACTTGAAACATTTTAGGAATGCAAATCAAGGCGAGTAACGTAGAAAAATATCATTTAACAGATTTATTTATTTTACTATTATTTGTAACATCATTGCGAATAAAGGATTCGTTTTCAGTATAATAAAGACGTTATAATAAAGCAACAGAATTATTGTGACTTGTAATATTTTTTAAACGCAGTTTTAGGCCTTTTAAGATGGCCTTATAGATTTACCAAGATGTCTGTCTGTCCGTCCGTCTGTGCGTCCGTCTGTGCGCACGATAACTCTCTTTAAACAAAAGCTATCGACTTGAAATTTTGCACACTTCATCTTCGGGTCAAAAGTAAGGATGAGTTCGGAGGTGGGCATGATCGGTCAAGTAATTGGCCGGTGGGGGTCATTTCCATCCAAATGCGTTGCCCTTAACTACCAAGAACCTTTAGAGCAGGTTAAATTATTTAAGTGTAAGTAAAATATTTGTAGCTTGAGAAATATCTATAGTAATAATTTTAAGTAATTTTAGTATGAAGATTGCGACTGACCTCAAAGCGTTTAAATTGGAGTGGAGTTTCAGAAATTTTAAACCTGGGAGACCCGATAGGGTGACCCGACGGATTTCTAAAATTTGTAGTAGGTAGTTGAAATTTGGAACAAAGGTTGCTAGTGGATTGTAACAGACAAAAATGAATTTAGGTTGGAAAAATTTTAATCTTGATGGACCCTATGGGGTGACCCATACTGATTTTTCAAAATCGTCATATCGAAGTGAAATTTGGGAGAGAGGTTGCAAATGGGTCTTAATGGAACAATATGAAATGAAATTGGTAAAATTTATATCTGATGCGGTTATCCATATCTATTTTTAGAAATTGCGTTAAAAACATGAAATCCGGCACGGTAATACTTACAATTAGTGGCTTCTCATCAAAGAATTTGAAATTAAAAGTTAGCTAACAAGGGATACTTTCGAGGTGATAGTCGTGTCCAGGGTACCACTCATTGGTCTAAATGTTTTTTGATCGAGTGTTTCTCACGGGTTCGGGTTCTTACTTCGGGTTTCGGGTTCGGATCGGGTTTGGGTCCTGCTTCGGATACGAAATTTTTGAACCCGAAACTTTCGGGTTCGGGTTCGGGTCCGAGAAATGTGATCCCAAAATTTCGGGTTCCGACTAAGAACCCGAAACCCGAACCAACAAGAACTTTTTGCCACAACGAACACGAAAACATTAAAAAAGAAAATAAAGTGTTAACCAAACTTGCTACGACGGTTATGCTGCAGTAATTCATTAAATAATTCAAATTTTTAATTGTCGTAACTTCTTTTCACAAGTGTCTTCAATTAGTGTTATGGTTTGAATATTAAAATAAAATATATTTTTTATCAAAAATTTGCAAAATATTTAGCTTGAGCTTACTTTAATATTGGAAACTTGAAACTGAAAATCATTTTCAGTTTTCAACTGATTTAAAAATTTCTGAATGTCACGGAAAGCCATTATTCATGGTCGATTTTTTGAGATTGCATTATTATGGTCAAGGAATTAAGAGTTATGTACTTATGCAGAAATGTGCTTAATTATAATTCCTCGGTCATATTTACAGAAGTATTGTTTGTTTGAAACCTTCCAAAGAATTTTTAGCTAAAAAGCCAGTCACCCCTTAAAGTTAAAATATATTCGGGTTTTTCTGGTTCGGGTTTCGGATTTGATCCGCCAGTTCGGGTTCGGATCGTTGCAAACGGGTTTCGGGTTCTTCGGGTTCGGGTTGCCCTCAAGTTTCGGATCAGTGGCATCGGGTTCGGGTTCGGGTTTCGGATTTGCAAGAACCCGACCCGTGAGAAACACTAACCCATCTTCGAACTCGGTCGATGCCCAGATGCATGTCTGTATCAAATTTGGTAAAATTCAGCCTACTCCTTCGAGAGTTATGGAAAGACAGACAGACGGACAGGTCGATTACATAAGCCCTAGTCCGGGCTAAAAATTATATGCCAATCGTTCATTAGAGTCTGGCTTTTATGTAATAATGCCGTCTTAAAAGGCCCCGCAAAGTGCTTGGAGTAGGTTTTTTCAACATCACAAAGTCAAAATTCTAAAAACGAGTCTCGAATTTGTAAAAAGGGTAAAAAATTCAATAGCATTAAGGACCAACCTACTTACATCCATACATCTGAACGAAAGCTTTCACAAATCAGCTTAGGTACCATTATATTCGAAAGCATGTGCTATATATTAAAGGCTTGAATAGAGGATTATATTTGTACCTGTGATACTCTACTTAATATCTCTACTTATTTGCCAAAAGTTAGGAAATCATTTTCAACAATAGGATTTGTAAGTAGTTTATTCATTCCTTATCCCATGTATGTATAGGTTCAACATTATATTATACTTGTCGAATTATTTGATTTTAAAAAGGGAGGAGTTCAGTGTGTAGATGAAAAATAAGTCCCTGTTGTACTTAAAATATTTATTATAATCACGGATAATAAGTACTACGTAGCAATCAGGCATTAAATATGATGGAGGTTTCGAATTTAATCTACTACGAATGAGTGAATAACAGCGACACAGATGTTCGTATTTAACTGCATTTTTATCTTTGTATACTTTTCATGAAAGTGAAAGTCTGAGTTTGCGATGGGAAGCAAGTACAAAGCTACATAAACAGTGCTGATATTGTAAAGTAATCCCCCTGAGCTGTAAAATTATGGGACACACGAACTAAACAAACATCTATGTGGGTATCACATATTAATAAATAGGGTTTTTTGGACTCTATGAAATGCAATATGAATTCATATATATTAGAGGAGTCATACTACGGGGTTTTTGAAATCTACTGAAGCGCCAGCAATTGATTCCCTATTCGATTGTAATTGGTTTGTATTAGTCAATTCTCACTCCTGATTACATAGCGATATCGAGGGTACACTTTTACTTGGCATTTTATAGCTCTTCTTTAATGAGACATCAAATCATGCACCTTTTATATGATTCCTGTGACGCAAGTTTGTAAGAATTACGAGACTAATCAGTTTTTCAATTATTATCGAAAGGAGGCGTCTAAAGACAAACAGAAGTACAATTTGATCATTATACATACTGACGGTACAATACGGTTCAGGCTGAAAATCAGATGCAATTGACAATCTTAGGTAAGAACGTGTTATTACTCCATTTGCTTATGTTGATCAACATACAATGATTACACTGAAACAAACAAACAGTAATCCACAGTTTCCTCACGTTTTGAATAATGATTAGAAAATTTTTGCTTTGCAATTTCATTTCTGATTCCGCTCAAGTCTACTCTTCCACGTAGTAAATCGCTTTCACCATCACCGTTCCATTCAACATTCTTGTTTATTAAGTCAATCGCTTCATTCGTATTCAAAAGTCGGAGTCATTTTATATTTGGTGAATAAGTATTCGAAAGAATCATTGCAAAGGTATGAAAAATGAGTTCCATATTCCATTCGTGTAGGATCATTGCAGCCTGTGCCAAATAAAATATTTTGCATACTGACTAATCTTATAAAAAAATATACTACCCAGGAATATATATGGTTATATAGTAATGGCAATATCGCTGTGTGACATATTACATTTCACCCTTGCGATTGTATTCGAGGGTGAAAGCTAAATGAAAGTAAAAGTCACTATCATTTATTTACAAATAGACTACAATGGCATTCACACACTGCTGATTTTATTTAAATACGCAACAACCAGACCAAATAAAGACATATCACTCCACCGGTCCACCCACTTCCCTTCTATCTGCATTTCCCAGTACCGTAACAACAGTGGTATATGGTGGTACCAAATACCAGGCCCGGGGCCCGCAAGGGCCCGGGCCGGGTCGCTAGCTTTACACTAGATATAATGGACTGTTTTTAGTATTAAAGATTTTACAAAAAAATTATTCCACGCAAATAAATTTTTTTACATCTAACGTTGAGCTGGTAGATCTCAT